ATTTATGTTCAGAATTCACCCCCAGGTGTCGCTAATGTGCCATATGTTTTCATATGTTGAGGAGACGAACCAGTCCAGGGCTGAAAGTCTCCTTAATAAAGATATATAGGGGAAATGGATGTAATGTCGGCCTAAATGCCCCTAATTTGAGCCCAATCAAACCTCAGCAATCGACTAAAATTTCAATAGCGTTCAAAAATATCCATTAGTACCATCCCAATGACGCGCTCATCTAGATAAAATTGATAAATAGCAGATTTTTAGCGATGTGCCGAATCTTAGATCCATAGGTCAACATTAGAGCCATTTCTCCTACATAAAAAAGTCTCATGAAAAATGTTGGCTATTGAATTGAATCCAAAATGTGTGAAGCCACCCCATTGGACATCGAAGAGTTTTTTCCAGTTGGGAGACATGGTTTAAAATTTTTTTATCACTGATTTGTTTGGAATTTCGGAAAGGATATTTGTGGGATCCAGTTTGAAAAAAACATTGTTTACAGCTTTCGTGGGCGTCACTTAATTTGAATAGCTTTTTGTTAAGTCGGCCATAGATTGTGGTAATGTAAAGGACACGGTAGCTGTAGAGCAAACGGTTTTGCTTATTGAGCAGAAGGTCATGGGTTAGAACCCAAGCCTCGTTACATTACGGAGTTGACCTATACGGAGGCCTCTATTGTGAAAATCGTGAATAATAGAACTCGGTGGAACGATTCGCAAAATTAATAAATATGTGACAGACAAAAGTGACGCACGCTTGAGAAGACATTGGGGGATGTCATTTTATCTTAATAGCTTCTTATAACCGATAATGAACGATCGCCAGTCGTAGCTTGTTGTGATGTAAGGGGTACGGTGGCCTTAGAGCAACCGTTTTTGCTTACTGAGCAGAAGATCGTGGGTTAGAACCAATTGCAAATAAAAATCATAAACGTTGATTGGGACGTGTGCTTTGTCACCCATTTAACCGATAACAATATCATTGACCCCACGTAGGATGCATGGGCTTCATCAACACAAACTTATCATTTGGAATTGGTCTGTATCTTTTTTTTTTTAGAGATCATCGTAGAATTTTACATATGTAAGAAGAGTGAGATCTCACCAGGCAGATACATTCAGTATGTTTTTGTATGGTCACTTTAAGGTGATTCCTTTTAGAGTCCACAAATGACCACCACGTAGGCTATGCATGCACTTCCACCCTTGCATTTCGCATTTTCAAGTACACACATCTCAGAAATTAATTCCCCATTTCACCTGAAATTGCTACTTCACGTAGGCTGCAGTGCAGCAAACGTAGAGTAACAGTTTCATTGTGGTACGTATCGTAGAAGCTGATATTTGTGCACTTAAAGCTTCGAATTGGTTATGAGGATAAGGATGATGATAATGATGGTCCCACCTTTTACCCCTACAAAGGTTTGAGCTGGACGATTTATCTTTAAGATAATTAAACTTGTCAATTTAACCAGGTTTGCAAACAATATTGCACTGGTTACAGTTAGAGATATAAATTCCCTCTAGAGTTTACAGTTGCATCCCAGCGATATTGCCATATGTGGAAAAGCTCAGGCGTCCACCTCTTAGTTCACCTTTTTGTCCACCTAAAATATTCATAAGTATTACAAGCAATAAGGAGTTAATGAACACTAGCAACCCCGCAATCTGATGCTATCACAATTGTCAGCAATGTCAGGAATGCTCACGAGCCCCCAACATTTGCCAGAAAACTTACTACTAACTCAAGGTATCTTCCAAATAAGCTTCAAAATTGCATTTTTTTTTATCAAATGTTAAATTCAGCTCTCTATATCCGTATTTCGTGCGCGAGGCTCAAACCTTTGTAGACTACTTTTTTTTAATTATTCTACTTCTATTAAATCAAATATTAAACATCCATCCATCGTGGCGAACACAAATTGTTTTTGCAGTGATACAATAATTCAAAAAAAGTCATTATGAAAGCTATCCATATAAAATAATACGTTAGAGATAACTTCGCCAAGCCACACAAAAAAAATCACTGGATAACTGTTCAAACAACAGTTTTCACGTGGAGTGTCTTTTAAATTCTGTGAGTACTGCTGAACGTTAGAAATGTCTTGGCATCGAATTGGAAACATTTATTCCTTTAAAATTGAATGAATTTTGTCAAGCACAAGTCAAGCAATGTGGTGTTCTTATTTCAACCGCGTTTCTAGTATTATATCTTTGAAAGTCACTTCCTCTTTGAATTCGATCACACAAATATCGAGGTAGTAAACCGTTAACTACTTTAAATATAAATACCATAAACAAAAACATTTCTTTGCTTCACCGACAACCATTGTAAGGCGTCTAGCATCTAAGTTGAGGAAGTGAATCTATTACATCTCAATATCAAACGAATTATTTTATTCTGCAAGCGCTGTAATCTCGATACTTGTATTTCATTGGCCAGAAATAAAATGGAACGGCAAAAGTCTAGATGAGGAGAGATGATTGATTTGTATAGCTGTATTTTACTGGCAATAGTTAAATCGTTTTTCAGTCGACATAGAATTCCATACTTCTTGGCAATTTTCTTGATGACATTGTCAATGTGAGAGTTGAACTTAAGTTTTTAATCAATAATCAAGCCAAGGTATTTAATATCCCGAACGCGATCAATAGTCTCATCATCAATTACAACAGAGACGTTCTATTTACGCGATTCCGTTTTAATTGTTTTCAATTCCAACTGCTTAGTGGAGGCGAACCAGCCTCAGGCTGAAAGCCTCCTAAATAAAGATAAATCAATCAATTCAACTGCTTATACTTCAACCATCTACTTAGAGAACGCAAATCTACATTCACGTTTAAAACGGCATCATCTTAATCCTTAGCTGCAACGAATAACACAGTATCATCTGCAAAAAGAATAATGTCGCAAAATCGTAAAACACGTATCATGTCATTAATATACATAATAAATAACAGGGGCCCTAATACACTTCCATGGGGCACTCAAAGGTTATTCCCCACGGGACTGCAAACAGAATCAATAAAAACAGTCCGTTGAGTTCTCTCAGACAAATGCAGTACTCGTAATTCCAAAGCACTTGATTGATCTTAACAATAAGGGCCTAGAAATTGTCTCAAAAGCGGAGCAACAATCGTATCTTTACACTCCAAGCTATTTTTCCACTTCGATATTACCAAATTCAACGCGATTTCACAAAAATTACCTTCCTGATATCCCGATTTTTCTGGTATCAACAAACTATTACTATTTAAATATTCCAACAGCTGGCCTTTAACAACAAGTTCTAAAATTTTCTCTAATGTGTGCAACATGTTGGTGGGACCACAGACAAACAGACGTAACTCTTTGAAAAACTTGTTCTTGAAAACATAGTATCTCAAAACATATAACCTCAGTAACGACATCTATCTGGCTTCTCGCGGAAAACAAGCTTGCTCGCTAACTCGTAAACAATATTGCATGAAATTTCTATAGAATATATAGAAACGTCAAAGTGATCCGATGCCAGCGCTGCGGCGAGTAGTTCGCGGAACTGATAATATTCAAATCAACCGTTAAATGCATGAACGAAGATACACAATGAAGAGTTACGTCTGTTTGTCTGTGGTGGGACGAACTCTTCGACTCTAATCGTTCCAGCAACTTTTTGAATAGGGACCACTAAGGATTGCTTCCAAATTTGCGGCACATGTCCAGTTTGTAATGATTAATTAATAAGGTCCAGCAAGATGTGGCCAATGACATGAAAGCAATCTTGAATAACTCTAGCATTAACATTATCTACTCCAGCCGATTTTCCTAATGAAACACAAACAAACTGTAAGTTCATCTAATGTAATTGGGTGAAAACCTTCAAATCTACAACTTTTATTAGCTGGCTTTTTTATTTCGTCAGGTTCATCGACCAATTTAATGGATTGATTAATGAATGAAACACAGTCTACTTCGATGCAATTACTTGTTCTGACTGTTCTAATGTGCCATTAAAAGTTATGGACCGCGGTTTGCAATTACATCAGAACACCTCATTTTGGGTAATTCGTGGCTTACCTGGGGATGAGTTTTGTACACGCGACCCTAAGCGTGATACGTATGGATGCTAACGTCCTCAATTCATGTATATTTAGTAGGTGTTCGATACCGAAGTGACCACATCGCCATCTGAATGTCGATCATCAACGGACTCCCCACTGGTCACTCACCGTTGATCACTGTTCAACAGCCGAACCGCAGCATCTCCACCACTACCTACCGGAATATGTGACGATGAAATGGACCGAAACGATCGATCGTATATCGAATACATTTCAGTGCAACTCGAGCCATATACTAGGCAATTGCATGCCGGAGACGTCCGTCGCGTGTTTAATTTAATTTGTTTATGTTCGTCAATGTAGTAATTAAGATGAATAAAGTTATTAAATTAAAATGTTAGCAATAATAAACGATTTTGTGTTTATGTTGGTGTGAAAATTAGTGTATGATCCGGAGAACACCCTACGCTGCATGCTTCAAAAGAACATTGGTCCTTCGAGCCGGAGTGGGTGTCGATAGGATCCGTTCAGACCAATCGCTATTCGAGTTTCCCTGCATGAAGCGTTAAACAGCGGCGGAATTACACACGCTTATTGATAAATTTCAAACTAACGTCAAAATTCTAAAACAATTGGGGGAAAATACTGAGCACTGGGACGTACTTTTGATCCATCTTTTGAGTACGCGATTGGACACAGTTACGAGACGGGATTGGGAGGAATACGCGGAAGCAAACGACGCTACGAAGTTTCAACAGCTGATCGATTTTCTGCAACGTCGAGTCAACGTGCTAGAAACAGTCACCAGTAAGTTTTCGGATATGCCCGCAATCATCAGAAAGCCCAATCCACCACGTGCAGGAAGTCATGGCGCTGTACAGCAAGCGTCATGGAAATGCCCAGCCTGTTCCAGTCAACACTCCTTGTACCAATGTGACAACTTTTCAAACATGACGGTCGATGAGAAATAGCAGGTTGTCCGACGCAATCAAGTTTGCCGAAACTGTCTGCGTCGAGGTCATATGGCGAAAGACTGCTCATCGGAGAGCAGCTGCTGCAAGTGCCGAGGACGGCATCATACAGCAGCTGCGTTTCGCGTCAAGGTCTACAGGCAGTAGTCAACCAGCTACGATCAACCAATCGGACCAATCTAGTACTTCCGGCCAGGCGGGCAGTAGTAGCGGACCGATGTCAGCCACGCCAGCAGCGCATACTGGAATTTCGAGCTGTACAACGCAAGACGGAACCAGGAGCAGGGTACTATTAGCCACAGCGATCATCATCATGGTGGACGATAGTGGCAACGAGCATCCAGTGCGAGCTTTGTTGGATTCGGGCAGCGAATGCTACTTTGCATCAGAACGAGTGGTGCAACACATGAAGGTTCGGCGACATAAGGTGAATCTTCCAATCGCAGGGATTGGTCAAGCGTCTACCGAAGTCCGCTGCATGTTCCGCTCGATAGTGAAGTCTCGGATATCCAAGTTTTCCACCACCATCGAAGCCTTCGTTCTTCCCAAGGTCACCGTAGATCTGCCTTCAATCTCTGTCGATGCGTCAAGTTGGTCGCTTCCGACAGGAATCCAGTTAGCTGATCCGTCATTCTATCAGTCCGGAGTCATTGATGTTGTGTTAGGGGCCGAGGTATTCTTCGATCTCTTCAATGTTGCTGGTCGAATCACTTTGGGCGAATCTCTTCCGTGTCTGGTTAATTCGGTTTTCGGTTGGATTATCAGCGGCAAAACTCCTGAACAACATTCAAGATCTTCCGTAGTCTGCAACGTCGCTACCACTGCCGACATCCATCGTGACATGGAGCGATTTTGGGCCATCGAGGGTGATTCAACGGTCGTCCACTCTGCATCCGAAGCCTACTGCGAGAAATTCTTCAGCGAAACTACTTGTCGCTGCGAGGATGGACGGTACATGGTACGAGTACCGTTCAAGGAAGATGTTCTGGGCAAACTAGGAGACAATAAACGTACTGCACTCCACCGTTTTCGCCTGATCGAGGGTCGTTTCGGGCGCGATCCAAAATTAGCCGCCGAATATCGTAAATTCATGGACGAGTACGAAAAGTTGGGACACATGGAGCGAATCGATGAATCAGATGCAGCGTCAGGGCTTGCATACTTCCTTCCACATCATCCAGTCATTCGCGAGGAGAGCAGTACAACCAAGGTGCGTGTTGTCTTCGATGCTTCTTGCAAGAGCTCCACCGGAATTTCCCTGAACGACGCTATGCTAGTGGGTCCAATTGTTCAAGAAGATTTGCGGTCCATAACGATGCGATCTCGCCTGCATCCTATCATGATGATTGCTGACGTCGCCAAAATGTACCGGCAAATGGTTTTGTTTCCCCAAGACTGCCGATTTCATCTGATATTCTGGCGTCCTTCACTATCAGAACCGATCCGCATCTACAAATTGAAGACCGTAACCTACGGCACCGCTTCAGCCCCGTATCTAGCCACTCGAGTACTGAAGAAGCTAGCGGAGGATGAGAAGGAGAGCTATCCTCTAGCAGCGAAGGCAACCTGTGAGGATTTTTATGTCGACGATTTCTTTTCGGGTGCACAGACTGTCACCGAAGCAATCGAACTACGGGAGCAAATGGATGCTATGTTCAACTCGGCTGGAATGCAGCTACGAAAGTGGGCGAGCAATTACCCTGAAGTTCTAGAAGAAGTTCCGGAAAACAACCGTGCCTTGCAACCTTCGATGAATTTCAACAAGGATCAGTCCATCAAGACACTGGGTCTACACTGGGAACCCTGTTCTGACCAGTTGAAATACATCGTTCCTGAAGCAACAGCCAAGTCCTCAACAGTTGTAACCGATGGTTCCATAATGTGGGCTTGTGACTCTATCACAAGTGCACTCATAATCGACTGTATAACAGTGTTGTAGAATGTCCTAAATCCAACTCTGCTGTTGGTCGCTCACTTTCCCATACCTTTCCATTCGCCTGCGGTAAAGAGCCTAAATTTATAAAGAGGCGACATGTCAAAATTGGAACAATCGATTGTCTGTCAAAGTCATAGGAAAAGTCAGTCCAATCGAGCAGAAGACCTGTCAAATGGATAAGATGTCGTCTCTTTATAAATTCAGGCTCTTTAGCCTGCGGTACCACTCACTCTCATCAAACTGGTTGACAGCAGGCGCTCTGCCGAAAAGGTTGTCCATATATGGGGTAAGGGGAGAGACAACGACGGGTGAAATAAATATGTAAATACAGCAACATTTCGGGTCTGCTCGTATTTCGTGGTTTTTTGCGGATTATTGCTTGGCATGCTAGCAGGAGTCAGGTTAATTCTGTTTCAACCGCACTCGGGAACAGACTCAGTGCGCGACGTGCTAATTTTCCCAAAGGTTCGCTGAAAGGGCGAGGTAAAAATGTGTAGTGTGGTTTTTTTTAAATAGTGTGTTTTGTTTAATTACAGGTCTAGGGCTAGTAAAAAGAAAAGTTAGTAGTGTCAGTCGTGTTTAAAAATTTCGTTAGTAAAAGTGGTTAGTAGTGCTAGCTGTAAAATTAGAACTGAAAATAATGTGTTATATTGTTCTTTAATGTTAGGGTAGTTCGACCAATTGTCACCCCAAACTGACGGTTGACTGTTACCGTGCAGATAATTCTAAAAGAAAAGGTAAATTTATGTACATTTATTGTAAATTTGTGAAAAAAATTATGTATTGTATGAGTAATTATGTGGTTGGTTTGGTTTTGAAAGGGGCAGGCTAATTAAATGTGTATGGCGAGGTGCTAATAAGCGTGGTTAGGTCCACAAAGGGCCTTTTTCTTTTCTTTGGCAGCATTTGTCCTGGAGCGAGCGCCATTGTGTTCGAGGTCAAAGGACAAGCCCGGCATTATTAGCGAAGCCATTTTGCAAAGGCCACGTTGCAGCGGTAAGTCCATTGTGACACGCGTTCGGGATTGGTCCTCCAGCTGGGTTCAGGAGAACCAGCTTGGAGCAGTGCAGCAGTCGCTACCGCGGGTTCTAACGAGCCAATATCGTCCCGCTTCTTTCTCTTCCGCCACCCTCTATGCTGTTTTGGGTGCCACCGCTCCGCGAACTGCATGCACCGGGCGAGTTATCACGCAATCGCCACGCAGTCACCAGAATTAGACCAATTAGTGATTCGCCAGAATAACCACCACCCGCTTCATCACCGCCACCATCGCCCCATGGCCACCACCACCGCCACTGCCGAGAAACCCCGAAAACGAAGCCAAACCGCAAGTAAAATGTGACGTCACAATGTTAAAAACTATGTATCGTAAAATCTAGAATATAATGCTATTGTACATGTAATTTTCTTAGTCCAGAACTTTTCATACTAGTTGAAAATCTCACTACCATTTCTTTTGTGTATCGTTCTCCGGACTCGAAAGGAGTCTTCATGCCTCCCTCCCTTTGTGGTTTATTCAGTAGGAAATTGACTCTGTGGCTTTTGAGCATAGAAAACCATAAGTGAATCATTCATGTTTTCTTTCCCCTTTGCCCTGTTTATGGACAATACCCTATCGTCGTGAGTTACTACTGACAGCATAGATTGAAGAGTGAGAGTGGTATACCGTTATTCCTTCCTTCCGACCCTGTTGATAACTTTTTCCACTGAGTAGCTGAGGGGATTACAAATTGGCGCCCAACATAAAAATAATTTCATTGATTTTTCAGGAATTTCGGTTACAGTATCTCTCCTCTCCCGACCGAGGGAGGTAAAAACAGTAAAAACTGTTTCATTATTTTGCCTTCTCCAAACGACAAGTGCAAGTGATTATTATTAGTATTTAGCATGCATTTAGTAATTCTCGGTTATTAGAATTTTGCATGCAGTTCAGTTAATTATAATTTCGAATTCTTTTTGTAGCATTTAAGCACCCCTTACGGGTTCTCATATTCCATTGATTTGTTTTGTTGCTGTTCATTCATTTGTTTTGTTTATATTTTGACGCTAGCGAGAATCTAACAGAATCGATGTTGTTTTGCAGATCTGAGAAGTTTTCGAGATTGTTGGAGTTGTTCCGGATGTAACGAGTGGGCCCTAGAATCTATAAGGCTGCGTTGAAAACCGTCCTGGAGTCCGATTAAACCAAATCGCGACTGAGAAGGGTGAGTACAGTTGGATATAAGAGTGAGTCTGGACAGGGCACAGACGTTGATCTAGCCACGATTCGAACACTCGTTACTTCCTGAAGGCTCCAACCACCCGATAGATTCACAGTTATGGATTCTGAAATGCAGATAAAATACCGGACCCTTTTGGTTCACCATCTAGAAAAGGAAGAGGTTGAATTCGAACTAGAGGTTAGAGCAGTTCAATTCGAGAAAGATGAAAGTTTATCGGTAATCAGAAGACGTTTGAGGGAAAAGTTGAAGAGAGAAAGAGGCGATCCGGAAGAAGTTGATTTTGCAATCTGTGAAACTCGTACGGTTGATGGAGAAATTAGGTTGATCGATGGAAAGATTAAGGAAATTCGAGATTATTTGGAAAAGAGGAAGGAGTTCGAAGGCATTAGGGATGCATTAGGGACACGATTAGTGCATTATTTTGCTCGATGTTCTGCCATTCAAAGTGCCGCCGAAGAAGATAATGATCTAGAAGATCTGGACAGGCTACTAGGTACTATTCGTCGGTGGTATAGCACATTCTTCACTATGTTTTCTCCGATTGATTCGATTCGCAAGGAAGTGATGCTGCAGATTACAAATTCCCTGACCCAGTTACAGTTAGGTCTACCAGTTCCTTCGAATGTACAGCGTGTGTCACAGGAGACACAGACAGATGATACCGACGGGGAATCACGGGTTGCAGAAGGATCAAAGCCGTCAAATTCAGGTGCTAATCAATCGCGTCGTCTACTCCGGTCAACTTTGGAACAACCAACTTCAGATTCGTATGTTCCACCCAGTATTGCAAAACCGTCCGGAGCAAGAACAGTTCGCCAGAAGTCTAAGGAGCGTATTCTGAATAGGTTTGATCTATCGAGTAAGAATTCAAATCCAAATAATAAAGTTGTTGATTCCGATTCAGTGTCTGAGTCGTCATTGTCCGCATCTCCACCGAGGAGATCAAAACATAGGTCCCGTGGCCCAAATACGCGGCGAGCAAAACCAGTGTCGGACTGGAATTTACGCCGTTATGACGGTAGGGACGGAGGTCAAGGTTTGATGCGATTCATTAAGGAAGTGGAATTTTATGCGAAATCGGAAAACGTCTCCGATAAGGAATTGTTTCGTTCAGCGATCCATCTTTTCTCAGGCCTAGCCAAAGTTTGGTTTATGCAAGGGGTGGAGAATGAGGATTTTACGTCTTGGCAAGAGTTGGTGGCCGAGATGAAAAAGGAATTTTTGAGCCCAGACCACGACCACGTGAGCGAGTTTAGAGCTGTTGACAGGAAACAAAGATCTAAAGAAAAGTTTCAGGATTTCTTCTTTGACATTCAAAAAATTTTCAATTCATTAACGAAACCAATTTCAGAAAAAAAGAAATTTGAGATCGTGTTTAGAAATTTGAGAGCGGATTACAAAGGGCATGTAGTAGCTGCTCAAATTGACAATCTTGCAGATCTGAAACCTTTTGGTCGCAAACTGGATGCCACTTTTTGGTATAAGTATGAGACCCGTAACCAAGATGAACAACCTTCTAGGAATCGTTCCCAAGTTAATGAATTGAGATCATATATGAATTCGAAACCAAACAGAGATGGAGATCAGCCGGCAAAATCTCGATCGGATCAGAAAGCAGCGGATAAACCAAATAGGGAAAAAGGAGACAGAAAGCCGGCACGCGATCAGCAGTCTGGAGATGATGAGAACGGTAAAAAGTCTGTGTCTGATGGGTTGAAGGTTTTACTGGATACGTACATTCCGCCCAAGCCCGGCATGTGTTATAACTGTCGCCTTCCAGGTCATCACCAATCTGAGTGCGAGCGCCCCAAGCATAAATTCTGCTACAAGTGTGGTTTCCACAACGTGGAGACTAAATCTTGCCCTTTCTGTGCAAAAAACGCTTAAGTTCCCGTCTGGAGGGGCAGACGGCAGCTGAGTACGATAAGAAAACCCCTAGTAATCCCGATCGTAGTCTTCTTTCATTAGGTTTGCGGCAAGTTGGTAACGACGAATATATGCACTCCTCCAATATAGAAATTAGCGAGCATTTTCTAAAAATCGCGGACGATGATAGACCCTTTGTAAAAGTAGAAATCCTGGATGTTCCACTGATTGGATTGCTGGATAGCGGTGCGAATCGCAGCATTTTAGGTTATGGTTCAAGTTTTCTACTCAAAACGTGCCATTTGCGTCTACAACCCGTCCACATCGATATCGCTACGGCCAGTGGGCAAAAGTTGGAAGTTTCAGGATGCGTAGATCTGCCAGTTACGTTCAATGGCGTAACAAAGATTCTGTCAGCTCTAGTTATTCCATCTGTAAAACGCAAACTGATCTTAGGATCAGACTTTTGGCAGTCGTTTGGAATCATGCCGACAATTGCGGCCACCGATTTTCCCAGTTCCGTAGAAGAGCTACGAGAACATACGGTGGAATCCTCTTTAACAGAAGAGCAGATGGAAAAACTAGAAGAAGTGAAGAAGTTGTTCAAACCCGCAGTAGAAGGTCGTCTAGAGTCAACGGCGATGATTAGCCATCGAATCGAGCTGTCGGACGAAGCGAAGAAGCTTCCCCCGGTGCGCATAAACCCATTTCCAACCTCACCCGCTAGGCAAGAGAAGATAAATCAGGAACTAGACAGTATGTTGAAGTGTGGGATTATTGAACGGTCATACAGTGATTGGTCACTCCGCCTTGTCCCAGTGGACAAGCCAGATGGTTCAGTCCGCTTATGTCTAGATGCCCGGAAGCTCAACGAGCGAACTGTTCGGGACTCTTACCCTCTCCCACACGCCGATA